GAGTTCCACAGATCCACCACCCTCTGGCTGAGGAAATTCTTCATCATTTCAATTCCAAAGTGACATCCCTTCACTCTGAGGCTGTGGCCTCAGGTCCTAGTCTCTGCACTGGTGGAAACATCTTCTCCACATCTACTTTATCCAGGCCTCTCATATTCTGTATGTTTCAAGTAGATCTCCCTTCATCCTTCTAAACTGTCAAATGTAGGCCCAGAGAGCTCAACTGCTTCTCATATGTCAATCGCTTCATATACAACTGTAAAATTCATGTTGAACCTCTCTAATACCGACACATCCTTCCTTAGATACAGTGCCCAAAACTGCTGACAATATTCCAATAACGTTTGGCCAGATCCTTATATAGCCTCAGCAGTAGATCCCTGCTCATGGATTCTAGCCCTCTTGAAATGAATGCCAACATTGCATTTGCCTTCCTAACTGTCAACTGAGCCTGCATATTAACATTAAGAGAGTCCTGAGTACCTCTTTGCTTCAGATTTCCAAAGTCTTTCCCTGTTTAGAAAATAGACTACTCCTCTATTCTTCCTACCAAAACCTCACACTTACCACATTGCATTCATCCACCATTTCTTTGCCCACACTCCTAGCCTGTTCAAGTCTTTCTGCAGTCTCTCCACTTCCTCAACATTACCTGTCCCTCCAACTATCTTTGTGTCATCTGCAAAGTTAGCAACAATGCCCTCAGTTCCTTCATCCAGATCGTTAATGTATAACATGAATATGTGTGGTCCCAACACGGACCCCTGCAGAACTTTACTAGTCACCCACTGCTATCCTGAAAAAGATTCCTTTATTGCTCCTCTCTGCCTTCTGCCAGTCAGCCAATCCTCTAGCTATGCCAGTATTTTGCCCCTTATTTCACAGCCTCATGTGCGACACCATGTAAAAGGCCTTCTGGAAATTCAAATAGATCATGTCCACTGGCTCTCCTTTGTCTACCTCCTCAAAGAATTTTAACAGATTCGACAGGTTTGTCCTTCCCTTCACAAAGCCATGCTGGCTGAATTCTATTTTGTCATGCACTTCCAAGTACTCTGCAGTCTCATCCTTATTAATGGATTCTAAAATCTTACCAATGACTGAGGTCGTGTTAAGTGGCCTATAATTTCCTTTCTTCTGCCTTCCCCCCTTCTTAAACAGGCGTGTTACAATAGCCATTTTCCAGTCCTCTGGGACACTCCCTCATTCCACTGATCCTGAAAGATCACCACCAATGCTTCTAAAATCTCATCAGCTATTTCCTTCAGAATTCTGGAGTGTAGTCCATCTGGTCCAGGTGAGTTATCCACCTTCAGACTTTCAGCTTCCCCAGCACCTTCTCCTTAGTCATGACCTCTGCACCCAGCTACACTACTGGTGTCTTCAACTGTGAAAACTGATATAAAGTACCTATTAGTTTCCTCTGCCATTTCTTTGTTTCCCATTGCTACTTCTCCAGGTTCATTTTCCAGTGGTCCAATGTCCACTCTTGTCTCTCCCTTACCTTTTAGATATCTAAAAAAAGTCTTGCAATCTTCCTTTATATTACTAGCTAGCTTACTCTCATATTTCATCTTCTCCCCCCTTATTATTTCTTTAGTTATCTGCTGCTGGTTTCTCAAGGCTTCCCAATCCTCTGGCTTCCTAATAATCTTTACCACACTTTACACAAAGAAAAAACTGAAATTGCTGGAAAAACTCTGCTTTCCCTCTATAGATGCTGCCAGATCTGCTAAGTTAATGTTTTGTGTCCGGTGGCCCTTCTTCAGAATGGTTCTGCACCAGTACACCTGAATTCTCAGAATTCTGTCATTATTCTCCATTGAAATAAGTATTAGCTTTTTCAGGAGTCTTTTTTATCCTGCTTTGGAAGGAGTTCCTGCACTTTAAAAAACATGTTACTGGAACTCAATGTGAGTTGTGTTTACCCTGTTGCTTGGTTCAAGCAACAAGGGAAGTTTCACATAGCAAGCTTCACCAAGAGACATGTTGCTGAGGAATCAGCAAAAACAGAACCAGTGTGGAGGCCAAGATTTATCTGCACGATAACTCATGTTTGATTGGGTCCTGAACTGGTGGCCAGTGTGAACAAAACAGAGATAGAAGCCTCCAGGTGCAAAAGAGATTGAGTGTCTCTCTCTGATATAACAAGGTGTAGAGCTGGATGAACACAGCAGGCTAAGCAGCATCAGCAGAGCAGGAAAGCTGACATTTTGGGTCTGGACCCTTCTTCAGAAATGGGGGAGGGGAAAGGGATTCTGAAATAAATAGAGAGAGAGGGGGAGGCAGATGGATGATGGATAAAGGACCAGATAAGTGGAGAGGAGACGGACAGGTCAAGGAGGCGGGAATGGAGCCAGTAAAGGTGAGTGTACGTGGGGAGTTCGGATGGGGGTTGGTCAGTCAAGGGAAGACGGACAGGTCAAAGAGGCGGGAACGAGGCTGGTAGGTAGGAGGTGGGGGTGGGGGTTGAGGTGGGAGGAACGGATAGGTGGGAGAAAAGACAGACAGGTCAGGGAGGGGGGTCGAGATGGGCTGGTTTTGGAATGAGGTCAGGGTCAGGGAGATTTTGAAGCTTGTGAAGTCCACATTGATACCATTGGGCTGCAGGATTCCCAAGCGAAATATGAGGTGCTGTTCCTGCAACCTTCGGGTGGCATCATTGTGGCAGTGGAGGAGGCCCAGGATGGACATGTCGTCCAGGGACTGGGAGGGGGATTTTCTCCACCCACTGCACATATGTTTGTCTGTTTATCTGTGTTTGGATATGTGTGTAAAGGTTTAAAATGGGGTTAGAGTTTCAATTAGTAGAGGTATATGTTGGTATTTAATATTATTGCTTGTCTGTGGTTGGAATTGATTTATTTGTCATTAAAAAATGGTTCTTGTTTAGTACAGAAACCTGGTCAGTACAATTTTGTGTTAGCCCAAGTCAATTAGTCAGGTAAATTGGTAAGTTTGAGTAATCTGATCAAATTCTTAACTTTGGTGACAAATCTGGGTGTGGTGGAGCTCAAGTATCAGTGCACTTTCCCAAATTGATAATGATTCCTTATTCTCTGCCTCTAGAGGTCTAACATTCACTTTATTTCAATGTTACTTTTTTAAAAAAATACCTGTGGGAATTCTTGTTATCCATTTTTTTTATTCCTAGCTAGCTTCCTCTCATACTTTAATTTCTTCCTCCTGATTAACCTTTAAGACAGTAATTTTTTTAATATTCTGATGAATCATCGGACCTGCCAGTCATCTTTCTGCAGTTATTTACACAAATGCCATCCTTGATTAACAGTGCTAACCTCCAACCTTTACCAAGCTTCGTTTTTTTGTTGAATATCATTTTTGCTTCAATATTGAGAACCTTATTCTTATCACGGAAGCTTCATACAATTGTTCGACTTTAGTTTATCCAAAGTTTTTAAAAGAAAAATTTTAATGAAAATATCAAATGAAATTTACATTAAATGAAAATATTAGTCCCTTGTTTGAGAGTCATGCAATTTCTGTAAAAAAATGTTTCAAACCTTACTTGAAACTTCAGTTAGTGAGAAAAAAAAAGTCATTTTTCACAGAGTGGAGAGAATTGTCAAGTTCATCAGTACTATTTTCACTGCACTCTTTATTAACTCTCATCTCCCAACCACCACTCTTCACACCCCAGCCCCTGCCATTTGCTTTTCCTTCAGGCTACCAGCAATGAAATGACCAGCAAGATTCCACAGCTCATAAGTCTAATTTAAACGTGGCTCAAGGCCCAATTTCCACATTCCTCAGGCCCCCCGTCAGACTCAGAGATCATTCTTGGGCCTAGACCATGATGGCATTTGCACACAGAAAGTCAAGGTCAACCATAATTCATGGTAAATAACATGTGAAGCCAGAGCAGGGAAACTGAACAGGAAGACAAAGATGAAAACACATGAGAGGGAGAAAGAAATACCTAATTGAGTGGGATGAGGTTTTTTTTAAATTCACTCCTTGAATGTGGGCATCACTGGCTGGACCAGCATTTCTTGCCCATCCCTAGTTGCCCTTGAGAAGGTGGTGGTGAACTGCTTTCTTGAACCATTGCAGTCCACATGCTGTAGTTGACCCACAATGCCCTTACAGAGGGATTTCCAGGATTTTGAAGAAGAGGAAATAAAGTGAATGGAGGAGAAGTGTAATGGAGAGCAGTGACCAAAGTCATGATCAGTCAGAAATTCGGTGGCAAGGTCAAAGTAACACAGTTCCAGAAGAGGGGATGGAGAAACAACAAAACAAAGTGTTGAGGAGAACGAAAGATGTTCAAAGTGCTGACAGTTTCTAGATGTCCAAAATAATGCTCAGTGAGAAAATTATTTAACTGCTGCTGTGGGAGTTAAATGGTCCTGAAATATAAGAAGTCAAAGGCTTTCACTAATTTTCCAATGCGTATGTCATTTCAGCACACTGTAAATTCATGCCAACACTGAAGAGATTGCCATAATCATTGTCAGCAATAAGGGGAGGCAGTGGCCTAGTGGTACTGTAACTGGACTGTTAATCCAGAGACCCAGGTAATGTCCTGGGGACCCAAGTTCAAATCCCACCAGGGCAGATGGTTGAATTTGAATTGAATAAATATCTGGAATTAAGAGTCTAATGATGACCATGAATCCATTGCTGATTGTTGGAAAGACCCATCTGCTTCACTAATGTCCTTTAGAGAAGAAACTGCCATCTTTACCTGGTCTGGCCTACATGTGCCTCCAGACCCACAGCAGTCTGGGATAGGCAATAAACACAAGCCTGGTCAGCAATACCCTCATCCTGTGAATGAATTTTTAAAAAATAGGCTCCAAATGTTTGCTTCCGCATAGATTATTTGTTCAAGTCTTTGCACATCTGCACATTGGCAATATCTGCACTGTTGTAATTCTGTGCTAAAATACATCAAACATTAAAAGAGTGACAAGATGGAATATATCATTTGTGAAGACGTTTATTTTAATGTAGTATCACATAAAAGTCAGTATGGTTGCAACAAAAGGGAAAGATTTCTCAAAACCAAGACAACAGGGTATTTTACTTGAAGTTTAAGTTTTATTTTGTTGTCATGCACATAATATTCTGATTAAGTTAATTGCTGTATTGTTAAAGAAATGTTCTCAGTTTAAGTAAATTTCACGTTTCCAAACCATCTGAACAGGCTGTATATGTGGGTGAGTGAATCCACTGTCACACTATTAGTTACTGTTTGTGATGATTTTATTTGCATACACATGACTTGATGTAAATATATTTAATGATGTGCTGTGCAGTGCCACACTGCAGCTCGATTTGTCTTTCTTCTATCTCATCTTCTTGACAGCATGTACATGTGTGCTTTATACCACCTAGGACAACATCATACCTGAAAGATAACCAAATTGTCCATCACAGGAAAGTAAACATTAGCATCAAAACATTTTACTTATACTACAATTTTATCAAAGACTGTTAATGATATTTTCATTTGCTACCATAAATATGCTTGAAAATATGATTTCAAATGAACCAATAAATGAAAATTAGCAGGATGCTACTCTTGAAGGGGGAAACATTCAAAGATAAGGCTACAACACTTCCAACAACATTACCAATTTACTAAAGAGCCATTACTAAAATGGCTCTTTCCATCTCTTCACACACAGTCTCTAATTATAAGACATACAGAACTCACTAACTTAAAAGTATATTAATTTCCTTTGAATTTGATAACATTTCCTCATTTAATTTGCAAACTTTCAAAAAAAACTTACTCAGCTGTTCCTTTACAATATCCTTCACATCTTCTGAGATCAATAAGAGCTGGTTCACAGGATTCCTCCTTAATAGTTGTATTATAAGGAACAGGTTCACATAATTTGGCTGTGAAAATAATGTTTGAATTAACAATAAAATAAGTAGTAATCACAAGGAATTAAACAGGATGTATGTGTTCAGTGTTCACTTCACAATATCCTAATTGCATTTGATATATCATAACTTATGTCCATTAATAATTATTTGTAATTGTATCACTGTTCATGATGGCATGTAATACTAACTACACACTTATGTGTACTAACCACCCCATTGAGACTGACTCAGAAGCACGTTACCATATCAGGTTACATTACACTTAGAGATGCAGTTACATTCCACTTAAAGGTCCAGTCATGCATAACTGTAACTGGACATGCATAACTGTTCCATTTAACAAAGCCGCATAAATATCACAGGACAAAACATTTTTACACTTCCATACCAAAAATAGAGCTTTCCATATTAAAACGTAGCCTTGAATAGGTGCGCTTCCCAACTGCTTACTCTAAACTCCTTTCCAGCTAGCATGGCTCCAAGAATCATTCGAAGATATTTCGAATTAGCTCTCTTCTTTAAAAGTAAAATGCTACTTCCTTGCAGACTTTCTTGTATTAGATTGAACATATTATGATTTGTAGGTGACAGGATTTACCTTGCCTCAAGTTTTATTCAATGTCGTGTATATAAGCAATCTTTAACCTACCAATAAAACTAACAGTGCTATGTCCAGAACCACGTGACTTTGAATGAATGAGGGTATGAATGAAACTGACAGCACGACTATAACAGACGTGACTGCGAAACTGAACGAATGAATGAGCGATAGTAAACAGACCCCACAGATAGATACCACTGAGAAACTGAAAGAACAGGCAACAGTAAACAAAAGTCACAGACAGTCGTGACTGATAGAAATACAAACTTTTATTTCACCCACAGGTACATTTTTACCAATGTTCTAACTTTGGAGATAACACCTTTTGAATTATGAAAGGACTAACCAGACAGAACTTCTAATCTCATTAGAATAACTGCTAACACTTAGCCAGAGTTTAAACTATCTCCGATTTCCTGCAGGATAGTTTTCAGTACAATAGCCATTACTTAGCACTCAAGTGTTAGAATGTTGATGTATGCACAAGCTATGTATAAAAGAGGCTACTTTTGAGCTGTGATTTTGGGATTCTATTTTCGCCTCACATCGTGTTGCTGTGAATGTACAAAAAAGAGGCAATTTTCGCCACTCACTGATCTCGATCGTCTGGTTCTTTGAACACAATCCCACACATTCACTGCAGAAACTTAAACCCCTGATGTTTTAATTCAGAAGAATTATTTCTTTTTAATATTAAGTAACATTGTTAGCAATACTTTCACAAGACCACAAGATAGCTACGATGAAGATGGTAATTCAGGACATCTGACTTCATCCTTTCAGGGAAAAAAAACCTAAAGCCAACCTTCAACTTCAGAATGTATAATACCCATTGCACTGTTTCAAAAAAATGTCACCTTAGTCCTATTTAACCTGAAGATTGCTGCATGTCAGGTGAGGGGAGACATTGAGAACAAGAGTCATTTGTGATAACCTCAGCTAGTGCGAGAATCGTGAACCCATGCTGTTGGCATCACTCTATTTCAAGAACCAGGCATGCTGCCAACTGACGTATCAGTTAATGGTACTTTGATGAAAAGAACTTCAGAATAGTTGGAAATATAATTGTCATTGGGTCAAAATCCTGGAATTTCCTCCCTCAGGGCATTGTGGGTCAACCCTCAGCAGGAAGACTGCAGCGGTTCAAGAAGGCCGCCTTCTCAAGAGCAACTAGGGATGGGCAATAAATACTGGCCAGACAGTGACACCCAAGTCTCATGATTGAATAAAAAAAATTATCACCTTTATTTCATCCCTATTGTTCTCTGTCATAAAAATGGACCTTTACAAGATGGTTACAATTTTAAATGTCTCCTTTAACTTTGCCCTATAATGATAATAATTCTTTTGTAAAGAATAACAGGCAAATTCATTACAGTACACAAATATTAGATAATTACCTTTTTTAGGACATGAATAGCAGCAATGAAATTCATCCCAGACTTTTTCAGACTAACAACAGGAAAAAATGCGTTAATTAACATGCATGTCATTCAAATTATATGACAAGTGTGAGATTAGGTGGTGATTTTTACAAGCTACTTACCAGAGAGTATCAATGCGTATTCTGATCTAACGCTAACATAGGTTTGTGCTTTAGCAAGAATACATAGATTATGACAAGAAATGTGGGAAGCCAGAAGAATTTTCTTTTCATTATCTTGGGAGCATTGCAGTAAATCAAAGTGATCCAATCAGTACTATGAACTAAACTGTCTCAGCATAAACAAGTGGTCAAATCTTGGAGCTTAGTAACACACCAGTTTTTTCATTTAATTTTTGAATCATTAAGTAGTCCATGTGAATAATTTACAGGTCAAAACATTAGCAGCAACTGTGTTTAGAAAAGCACTAACCACATAGGCATGTTAAGATTCTCAAATGAATTGCAGATATTTTGCAATCTATCCATAGTCAAATGGCATATTAGGCAGAAAACTATGGGCGGGATTTGAGTGGGGGGGGGCAGCTATCACCTCCCAAGACAAAAGTCAGCAGCAAGTCAAAAGACCAGAAAGAAGTCCCATCTCAAAACCATAGCATGCTGTGGATGTGTTCAAGTGCTGGAAAATTGGGAGCCAGCCTCTGCCCCTCCTCAGGAACTACCTGTCATTCTGATTGGACTAGAATGCTGTGAAGGGTGTTGCTGAGACGGTAGGAAGACCCATGAAGGAGGCCTGATGGAACTCGTGGATCTCGGTAAGTTGGTTAGCATGGGCAGGGAGAGTTTGCTCACTTTAGGGAAGGGGGAGGGGTGAGAGGATAGGGAGATAGGTTTTGGTGTATGTGTGGATAGGAAAGAAGGGGCACACTTTCTTCTCATGAGATGCTACAAAGGGAAAAGGACACTCACTAAATACAGAACACTCTTTCGTCCTGCTGGTTTTGTTGGCTTGCTTATGTCCAACCTTTCACCGACTGTAATGATGTGGGCAGCTTAATATTGGGATCAATTGAGCTTTTAACAAGCTCAATTCTTATTTATGTATGTTATGGGTGGGCTGCTGACTTTGGAACACACCCACCCTCCGCATGACTGGGGTTGGTGGACAGTATTGGGCTAGCTACACAACCTGTTTTACATGCCCCCTTACCAAAACATACCCACCAGGGGTAATATCTAGCCCATTGTTTTAAATTTGATATTGTATTTAATGCGACTTCAAACAGGGCAAGCATAAAAACACAATGGATACAAGATTACATCTAAGCTTAGAACTAAAAGACTGACATATGAAGAAGGGCTAACTATGTAAAAATGTAGCACTATTGTATACATAAAGAATTTAGATAGTGTCATTTGGAAGGACTAATCAGCAATATAAAAAAGACAATCAGATACTACAATCAGGAAATAACTAAGGGTTTTTACACACACGTAAAAGGTCAAGTAACGTTTAAAGGAAAGACTGAATTGTCCAGGTGTGAAGGAGATAAATTGCTTAGGATCAAGTCATGACAGATACTACACAAATATTTGCCAATACTTTTTAAAAATGGTGCCTTAAATGAAGAATATGAAGTTTGGTCCCTGGACCTGAAACATTAACTCTGCTTTCTCTCTATTGACACTGCCTGACCTGCTCAGTTTTTCCAGCAATTTCTGTTTGTGTTTCTGATTAAATCAGATAAGTTGCTTTAAAAGGGAAGGATATAGAAAAATTGACATTTTAAAAAAAAAGTCTTGTAGAAAAGGAATTGATTCTGCAAAAACAATTTCTGTAACATTATTAAATTACTGAGGCCACCAGGCATAGAAACCTTTAAGCCTAAGTTACCAGCCCTAGAAAAAGTTTTAGCTTGACATTTTCAATTTTCATTAACAATGAAAGTTGGATGATTGTTAGGAAGAATATCTGAAGTAACATAATTAATTAGGATGATATGTAAGGTAACAGTAGACCAGTAAGTCAAGCTCAATGATCAATGCTGAGAAATACTTGGGTTAATTAGGGACATTACGCATGCATTTTTTTAAAGACAAATCAAGTTTAAAATGTGTACGTGAGAGATTTGATTAGGTGACGATCTGGATTGATAGAAAGAAAACAATGTCTGTGCCATTTAAATGGTTTAAAACTAAGGGTCTTACAAAGTACTTATTAGAACAGTTCACATGTATAGTATGGAAATGGGTCAGAATGGATGGAACATTGTCTATGACACTAACATTGATTAAACAACAGAAAACATGGTAACTAGGCAAAATTGAGCCTGGAAATCAAATTTAACTTAAATTTTGTAAAACATATGGACCACAGCAAACATGTCCCCTTTCACAACACTAACCTCAGGACACTCTGGGGTAATTTTACATTCCATTTTATGAACTATTTGCACATTATTTTCACAACTGTAGGAAACACATGAGTTATTTGGATCCAGTCCAGTCTAGAAAAGAAGAGATATGAAAACAATTGTGATGATATGAAAATGTTAACAATATAAAAACATACGATTTTTTTCATTGTTATGAACTGATAGGATTTTCACATTTCAGGTTTAAGGTAATTAATGATGGTAGTAAGTAGGGGCACTGGATTTTGTAAACTATGGGTATTAAGGGTATTATTTAATAATAAGTTGGGCAAAACTACAAAAACTATGATTCTGATAGCCTGTGGCGAGGTGGCTGGTGAGCTCCGATGGGAGTCAGCAGTGAGATGGCAGAACAGAGGCAATGGGGATCAAGAGTTTGGGCCCAGCACAGGGAGAGATTGAGCCTAGCGCAGGAGAGAGATTGAACACAGCATGGGAGAGAGATTGAGCACAGCACTAGGGAGAGAGTGAACACAGTGCAGGAGAGTGATTGAGCCCAAGTTGGGAGACAGATTGAACACAGTTTGGGAGAGAGATTGAAAGCAGCGCTAGGGAGAGATTTGAGCCCAGCGCAGGACAGAGATTGACAGCAGTGTGGGCGAGAGATTGGATGCACCGCTAGGGAGAGATTGAGCCAAGCATGGGAGAGAGATTGAATGCAGCACGGGCGAGCGATTGAACACAGCGCAGGCAAGAGATTGAACACAGCGTGGGCGAGAGATTGAACACAGCACAGGAGAGAGATTGAGCCCAGCGTGGGGAAAACCCAGCATGGAGTGCCTGCAGGCCCATGGCTAAAGAAGGACTGTAATTTGGAGCTTTCAACTTGATTTCTTATTTACTACTTTATATTAACAACTGTAATGTTAAACTTTTATTTCTTTTTTTTTCACTTTTTACCTAAGATTTTGTACGTAGGTACCTTATACCTAAAATGGTGCCATCAATGGCAACATTGTAAATTTTTCACTGTACTCCTGTTTCTTTGGACTAGAATACACGTGACAATAAAACTTAATTTTAAATTCCAATTTGTGCTTTATATTTATATAGCTATGAAATGAGCCAGTTTTGTTAAACAAAAAATGTCAGAGCAGCTGTCAACAATAAACTGGGAGAGATGCAAGGATCCTGCAGTGGTGCGAATCTATTCCGAAGGGCTCGTTTCAAAGTACTTAGGCTTCACGAAGGCTATGTAACATTGGAGAGCTCACAAAACAATGAGTGCCGGAAGTTTTCCTGCTGTGTTTAAGGTACGAACAAGGAACTAAAGTAGGCCACTCGGCTCTTCGAGTTTGCTCCACCTTGGCAATCAAGAATCTATCTACCTCTGCCTTAAAAATATTTAAAGATTCTGAATTCACCACTTTTTAAGTAACAGAATTCCAAAGATTCAAAATATGCAGAGAAAAAAAATGTTTCTTCTCCTCATTATAATGTTTTCAATGGACACCCCCTTATTTTTAAACTATGTTCTTTAGTTCTAGATTTTCCCACAAGAGGAAACATCCTTTCCACATCCACCCAGTCAAGTCCCAAGACCTTACATGTTTCAATTAAGACACCCTTGACTCTTCTAAACCATAGAGTATACAGGAGTAGCCAATCTAACCTATTGTCATAAGACAATTTGCTCGTTCCAGGTATTAATCTAGTAAACCTTCTCTGATCTGATTCTAATACATTAACATCATTACATAAGTGCGATGATCAGTACTGTATATAGTATTTCAGATGTGATCTCACCAATGCCCTGTATAACTGAAGCATAACTTGCCTATTCTTGCATTCAATTTCCCTCGCAATAAACCATGACATTCTATCAACTTTCCTGATTACTTGCTGTACCTCAATACTATCCTGCTATGATTCACGCACTAGAACACTCAGATCTCTGCAACCTCTCACCATTTATTATTTTTTATTCCTGCCAAAATGGACAATTTTACATTTTCCCACTGTTGTATTCAATTTGCCAGCTCTTCATTCATTCACTTAAAATATCTGGGACAGTTTATTTATTTGTCTCAAGAAAACCAGATTCTTACACAGGAAACTATAAATTAATAGCACTGAATGTGACGTACCTTACATGTAGGTGTTACAGTTTCAGATGTAGGACTTAGAAGTGTTGAAAGGGTGGTACCTTCAGAAAAAAAAAACAAGTTTTGAAACAGTAACCAAGAAAGTATCTGAAATTTAGATGCCTTGATAGGAATTAAACTCAATAGATCTTGGACAGAATTCAGAGAGGAGAGCAGATTGACTATTTTAAGTCACGTTTAAGTTCTGTTGGAAGGAGGGGTTTAAGATACATCCATGCGATCAAAGATATAAGATGTTACACACTACCCATATACACCACCTTATATTCCATTTATTTGGATCTCAGAATCTAGAGGCAGCAATGCACGAGATTCAGAAACTCCCCAGATTTCTAGACACTATGGTATCTCAACTCATATTTGAATGTTTCCTTGCAGTCATGTCTATGGACACTGCACATCAACACAGAACATCCATGGGATCTTTGCCAAATCCTAAGAGAGATCTGAAAGGGAGATCTTCATAAACTCTATGAATGTTGGTGAGGCATGGGTTTCTGCCGAGTGCTCTGGTTTCCTCCCACAGTCCAAAGATGTGCAGGTTAGATGGATTTGCTGTGTTAAATTACCCATAGTGTTAAGGAACGTGTAGGTTAGGTGTGTTAACCATGGGAAATGCAGGGTTACGGGGATAGGGTAGGTGGATGGGTCTGGGTGGGAAGCTATTCGCAGGGTCAGTGTGGATTCGCTGGGCCAAATGGCCTGTTTCCACACTGTAGGGATTCTATTCTATTCTATTTTATTCTCATACCTGGAGTACTGTTTACAGTTTTGATCCCTGTATTTAAAAAAGGATGGACTTGTGTTGGAGGTAGTTCAAAAGAGATTCACTGGGCTGATTCTTGGGATGAAGGGATTAACTTATCATTAACAGTTAAACAGGTTAATCTTATTCATTACAGTTTAGAAGTATAAGGAATGAGTTTATTGAAAAGTACAAGAATTTCTGAGTGTGCTCGCCAATATTGAGAAGATATTTCTATTAGTTGGGGAATATCAAACTGAGGGACAGAGTTACAGCTTGTGGACATTTATTTAAGACTGAGCTGCAAAGGATTTTTTTTTCTCTGAGGTGGTAGTTAATGTCTGGAATTCTATGCCTCAGAGAGTTATGGAGCTAGATCACTGGAAGTATTCAAAGAAGTGATAGATTTTTGAAGTATCAGGGAAGTTGATGGCTATGCTGAGTTGGCATGTAAAAGAAGAGTTAGGGCTTGTGGCAGATTAGCCGTGATTTTGTTGAATGGTGAGGCATGCGTGAAGGGCTAAATGTTCTACTCCTGTTCCTATTTCTTATGTTATTATGTAAGTTTCTTGAAGATTCAGGGAAATACATGTTGTGGCTCAGAAGCAACACTGAATTTCAGGTTCTGCCACAGCAAGCAGAATCAAAGAAGGGTCACTGGAATCAAAACATTAACTCTGCCTGCTCTCCACAAATGCTGCCAGATCTACTGAGTTTTTCCAGCAATTCCAGTTTTTATTTCAGATTTCCAGCATCTGTAGGTCTATATTTTATTATCAAGAAATGGACTTTGCTGTGTCTGGACATTTATTCATTTTCAGTATTCTAATTGATCACTTTCAGCTCCCACAGGTCCTTCATAAATCATGATTAATATATAAATCAGGTTAAGAAAACCCCATATATTCCAAGTGATAATGAGAAAACTAATACTCTCTTGTATTGGTTATTTCAAAATGTAGGTATGGCTATCTTTATAGTACTTGTCAGCACTTTGTAACTTAACAGACAAGGTATTCCGAGTAATAAAAATCCAATTACAATAGCTTAATCTCAACTGTTGGAGAGAAAATTAGCTGTGCTAACCAGTGGTGGAGGCCTCAGGTAATACTGATATTCCTGTCACTGCAGTTGATGTTGACCCTAAATAGCAGAGAAAAATGTTAGAGAACGTTCATTCATATCTTGTAAATTAAATACTAAGTACATTTTAGATGTTATTCTTACTTGATCACAACTGAAATATCGAGTCATAAATGCTCCTACAGATATAATGGTCAAATCAATAATACAGCTCTCACAACCGTGCAGTTAAGCATTTTTTAAATTCATTCATGGGTTGAGGGTGTCACTGGCTTGGCCAGCATTTACTGCCCATCCCTAAATACCTAAAGGGCAGTTCGAGAGTCAACGACATGGTAAAAGAACATAACATAAGAACATAAGAACTAGGAGCAGGGGTAGACCGTCTGGCCCTTCGAGCCTGCTCCGCCATTCAATAAGATCATGGCTGATCCTTCCGTGGACTCAGATCCACTTACCCGCGTTCTCACCGTATCCCTTAATTCCTTTATTGTTCAAAAAAAATCTACCTTTTTTTTAAAAGCATTTACTGAAGTAGCGTCAACTACTTCACTGGGCAAGGAATTCCATAGATTAACAACCCTCTGGGTGAAGAAATTCCTTCTCAGTTCAGTCCTAAATCTGCTCCCTCTAATCTTGAGGCTATGCCCTCTTGTCCTAGCTTCACCTGCCAGTAGAAACATCCTCTCTACTTCTTTCTTGTCTATTCCCTTCATAATTTTATATGTTTCTATAAGATCCCCCCTCAATCTTCTGAATTCCAATGAATATAATCCCAATCTACTCGGTCTCTCCTCATAAGCCAACCCCCTCAACTCTGGAATCAACCTAGTGAACCTCCTTTGCACCCTCTCCAGTGCCAGTACATCCTTTCTCAAGTAAGGAGACCAAAACTGCACACAGTACTCCAGGTGTGGCCTCACCAGCACCTTGTACAGCTGCAACATAACCTCTCTGCTTTTTATTTCAATCCCTTTAGCAATGAAGGACAAAATTCCATTTGCCTTCTTAATTACTTGTTGTACCTGCAGACCTACCTTCTGTGATTCATGCACAAGGACACCCAGGTCCCTCTGCATAGCAGCATGCTGCAACTTTTTAACCATTCAAGTAATAATCCTTTTTACTATTACTGCTACCAAAATGTATGACTTCACATTTATTTACATTGTATTCCATCTGCCAGATCTTTGCCCACTCACTCAATGTATCTATGTTCCTCTGCAAAGTTTCACAGTCCTCTGCACACTCTGCTTTGCCACTCATCTTATTGTCATCTGCAAACTTTGACACCCTACACGTGGTCCCCAACTCCAAATCATCTATATAAATTGTAAATAATTGCGGTCCCAACACCGATCCCTGAGGCACACCACTAGTCACTGACTGTCAGCTAGAATAGCACTCATTTATCCCCACTCTTTGCTTCCTGTTAGTCAACCAATCCTCTATCCATGCTAATACTTTACCCTTAATGCCATGCATCCTTATCTTATGCAGTAGCCTCTTGTGTGGCACCTTGTCAAAGGCCTTTTGGAAGTCTAGGTACACCACATCCACTGGGTCCCCATTGTCCACCTCGCTCGTAATGTCTTCATAGAATTCCAAAAGATTTGTCAAGCATGACCTGCCCTTCATGAACCCATGCTGCGTCTGCCCAACGGGACAATTTCTATCAAGATGCCTTGCTATTTCTTCCTTGATAATAGACTCAAGCATCTTCCCCACTACAGAGGTTAAGCTGACTGGTCTATAATTCCCCATCTTTTGTCTACTTCCCTTTTTAAACAGTGGCGTCACATTTTCTGTTTTCCAATCTGCTGGTACTGCCCCAGAGTCCAGCGAATTTTGGAAAATTACCGCCAGTGCACCTGCTAATTTTCCCGCCATCTCTTTTAATTCCCCGGGATGCATTCCATCAGGGCCAGGAGACTTATCAACCCTTAGCTCCATTAGCTTGCCCAACACTACCTCTTCCGTAATTATGATTGTTTCCAGGTCCTTACCTACCTTCGTCTCTTTGTCTATTACTGGCATGTTATTAGTGTCCTCCATTGTGAAGACCAATACAAAATACCTGTTCAATGCCTCGGCCATTTCATCATATCCCATAACTAAATTCCCCTTTTCATGCTCTAAAGGGCCAACGTTTACTTTAGCCACTCTTTTTCGTTTTATATATTTATAGAAACTTTTCCTATCTGTCTTTATATTCTGTGCTAGTTTTTTCTCATGTTCTATCTTACTTTTCCTTATAGCTCTTTTTGTGGCTTTCTGTTGACCTTTAAAGTTTTCCCAATCTTCTAGTTTCATGCTGTTTTTGGCCACTTTGTATGCCTTCTCTTTCAATTTGATAGCCTCCCTTATTTCTTTAGACACCTATGGCAGATTACCCCTTTTCTTACAGTCCTTCCTTTTCATTGGAATATACTTTTGCTGAGCACTTTGAAAGATTGCTTTGAAAGTCCTCCACTGCTCGTCAACTGTCCCACCATAAAATCTTTGTTTCCAGTTTACTTTAGCCAAGTCCTCCCTCATTCTATTGTAGTTCCCCTTGTTCAAGCACAGGACCCTTGTATTGGATTTTATCTTCACACTCTCCATCTGTATTCTAAATTCAACCATACTGTGATCACTCCTTCCAAGAGGATCCCTAACTATGAGGTCATTAATTATTCCTGTCTCATTACACAGGACCAGGTCTAGGATAGCTTGCTCCCGCGTTGGTTCCATTACATACTGTTCAAGAAAACTATCACGGATACACTCAACGAACTCCTCCTCAAGGCTTTTTGAAATAGACATAGCATCTTACACGTTGGCTCCCAGAAGTCTCGTGTTGGTGCATTATTTCAGTATAATCCAGAAAGAGAAACTTGTAGAATTTGATTAACTTTTTGGTCCTTCTAAAGGTGAGAAAGTTCAAAGCTTCTGAGAAAATGGGAGACTGGAAGAATACCACAGGAAATTCCAGCATCATTGACTTTGCTGGTTCAAACAATGATTCAGCAAAGTTAGCATCACAGCTATCTTAAGTGTTCTTTTCTACACAGCAGACTGTGAGACAGTATTTTGCTTGCACTCCAAGAAAATCTCAGAGAAACCATAAGAGAGAAAGAGTTGTCACCAAACTGAATATGACAAGAAAGGCAATTCAGCTAAAGGACTGCTATACTGAAGCAGGCAACAAAAGACAACAACCTATAGTGTTGTAGAAGTAAAATAAATGAGCTTTCACTCCTTCCCAGAATTTGATTGCTCAGTCCCACAGGACAGACTGGAACTATTCACCTAATGAAACATCGCATCGGCTGAACGCTGACTTAGAGTTTCCAACCCTTTTCTGTGGCAAAAAATATCAAATAACGTCCACATTTGTGAAAGCTATTCCACTCAAAATTCATTCAGCCCCCTCAAAATTAAGGTGCATCAGTCATCAGAGAGGAAGTTAAAACCCAACATGTTTGAGCTCACATTAACTACCATAGGGCGCAAGATGTTTTGAAGTTGACAGCAAGCATTCCCTATTTCCTGTCATTCCACTGATTTCTCATCAGAAACCAATGTCTATACACAGGATGAAAGTGGCTTGCTTATATCGAATAATATGTAATAATTCAACTAATACTGAATTCTACACTTCCATATTGTTATGTGTGAAACCAGCTGATGGTCATACTGGACAGATCAGATTCCAGAGATAAATCTTGCTTGATAGACTCTAATTTTAGTATCGCAATTTGACCACCATAGTAGTCTGTCACTGAATATCTTCACATGCTGCCAATGTGAATAATTACTGAAAATGTAAAAGATTAAAAGTTTACTTCATGAGAATATAAAAGAAAAAAAGTTGTATGTATAGACAGAACATATTTTGGGAAGATATTACCATAAACAACAAGAAGAAAAATCCAACCCTCTTCCCTTCAGTATCCTTGAAAACACGGACTCAAACCCAATGAATTATCATGCCTATCTTAACTCTAATTTCTTCATCAAATGATGAGGTCACAAGCATTTCCTTTCAGCACTTTCATGCACATTCATCAGATATGATTCGCTTTGTTTCTTGCTGACACACAGACACTAGCTAAATCTCTTTTGTCTCACTGAAGTCTAAGAAAAGTTAGGAGCATTTTCTAGCCCTGTTTACTTGGTCTGTTAAAACACCATAAGACACCTTTCCAGCTCTGATAGCTTGGAGACCATCAAAACTGAATTGCCCTTCTGCAGGCAGAGATTGTTTCTTGTGAGCTGAACCTGCTCGTGGCCCTTAGCCTCTGTTTCTGTACAAATTCAACTTAGTAAACACTTGAATAATTATCGAACCAGGTGATATCTAGCCATGTGGCATTAGTCAGATATTTTCTTGGACATGCTGTTTAGATACAAAATCATCCCTACTGAAATAAAACCAAAAATTCATTTACACCTATTTAAAATCCAAGTTCCATAACAATAATAAAAAATACAATAACAATATCTCCACCTGTCTCGACTCCATTTGCTCCCTCTTGGTCCAGGAACTCCCTACCTATGTCCGTGACACCACCCACACCCTCCATCTCCTCCAGAACTTCCAATTCCCCGGTCCCCAACACCTCATCTTTAACATGGACGTCCAGTCCCTATACACCTGCATTCCCCATACAGATGGCCTTAAGGCCCTCCGCTTCTTCCTGTCCCGCAGGCCCGACCAGTCCCCCTCCATTGACACCCTCATCCGCTTAGCCGAACTCGTCCTCACCCTCAACAACTTCTCTTTCAATTGCTCCCACTTCCTACAGACAAAGGGGGTGGCCATGGGTACCCGCATGGGCCCAAGCTATGCCTGCCTCTTTGTAGGTTACGTGGAACAATCCCTCTTCTGTACCTACACTGACCCTAAACCCCACCTCTTCCTCTGTTACATTGATGACTGTATCGGCGCCGCCTCATGCTCCCACAAGGAGCTCGAACAGTTCATCCACTTCACCAACACCTTCCACCCCAACCTTAAGTTCACCTGGACCATCTCTAACACCTCTCTCACCTTCCTGGACCTCTCTGTCTCCATCTCGGGCAACCACCTAGAAACCGATATCCATTTCAAGCTCACCGACTCCCACAGCTACCTAGAATACACCTCCTCCCACCCACCTTCCTGCAAAAATGCCATCCCCTATTCCCAATTCCTTCGCAGAGAGATGCATTCAGAAACATTTGAAGGCGATGACCAACATGTATTTAAACTATCATTGGAATAAGTTTATTTAGTAAATTCAATGGTCAACAGGAAGGGGAATTCTTAGCACAAGTTGCCTGCAAATTCAGGTTGGTTGCAAGCAGAAGTAACACAATTGAAATCTCAGCAGCAAACACTTCAAGAACATTTTAGAACACACCAAGATATTCCTTTAGAGAAAAAAACAAATTACAGCCTACCACGAATTCCAAAAATTAAATGGTGAAATTGAAATCCTCACTGAACATCAATCATCAATGTCTTGATACTAAATAATTTCATGAATTCTACTCAAAAGTATCTTTTCATACTATTCTCAAATGAAAATTCTACATAGAAGAAATATCATTGCCCACAATCAACAGAAGAGAATGCTTTGATTAAGACTTTTGCCTATCATGTGCTTTCTAGCACATCACTTTGGCATCAAGACTGCCAAGCACCTCGTTAGTCATCAAATCACCCAACATATTCTGCAGATAACATTTTTGACAAAAAGAGAACTCTTAAGTCAGCTCTTGGTTTTTGAAAATGAAAAATTTAACTCTCAGTGATGCTCAAAGTTAAATTTCACAACTTCTGAAGAAAACCATAATTGAAGATTGTCAATATGCCTCTCCTCTACTGCTGAATACGTTTTCAAAATTTAGCAAAAGTTCTAACATTTCAAAACACACTCAAAACTGTTGCATTTCTGACTCAGAATCCAACATCAGACTGCATCGTCAAGATTAAACAACAGCACACATATTTCCCAAAGTTACCCATGACAGTGCTTGAAATGTAGAATGTCAGCAAATGTCAATATTCAAGTAGTATTGCGAGGTAGCGACCTTTCAGTATCACTCCAAATATACTTCAAGAAGACCTCAAGTGAGGTAATGCCATCATTCTGTGTGCACACTTTATACCATATGGCACAGAGAATGTCCTGAAGAATGATATCAAGCATTTACTTTTAGTTGTCGTTCTATCATTTCACTTCTTTCTCATCAGAAAACAACAGGACGAAGGATGCACAGTCAACAAATAAGATGCTCACAAACAGAAATGGGGAATTTATGCAGGGCTTATAACGGGTATATTTCCACGTGGATGGACTGACACATGGGACTACATTCCCGGCCACCAAGAAATTGCTACACTGGCCCTGACTTCTAAAGCAAATTGTTCTTGACAGAGAGAAAACTATTGCTCACCATTAATCCGAGTAACAGGACTACTAGTCATGGGTATCTCTGTGCCTTGGCTTGGCCCTGTATATCAGAGAACAGAGTCAATTATATGCAATTCTGACGTAGCACTCCATTGACTAGAGACATTAAGGTGATGTGGGCTTTATTTACCAGTACTGATGGTTGCAGGAGAAATCGGTGTACCTCTCATTGTTGTTGGACCACGCGCTAAATAGCAGAGTAAAAACACGGAATTTTAATGCAGGTTTTGCAAAAGAATCTCTTTCATACTCTGATAAGAAGATGAACTATACTCACCACTGATGGTGATCTGTGAAGTGCTTGATCTACCTGTT